CTGGGAGCACAAGCTTTGGGCCTTCCAAGGGGGTCAAATATCTGGGAGTAATCCTGGATCAACGACTAAACTGGGGGCCTCATCTTGATGGAGTCATAGTTAGGGCTACCCGGGCTCTGTGGGCTGCGACGAGGCTTTATGGAAAAACTTGGGTCTTAGACCTAAAATGGTTTATTGCACCTACACTACAATTGTTCGATCAATTGTAGCCATCTAAAAATCGTTGCGGAAATTAATGGCTTATATGACATGGGGATACCCTTGAACTTTGGTCTGAGGAGAGAAACATAGTAAGGCCATACGTTCTAGATCTGGCTGGAGGGTAGATTTTTTTCGGCGAGGGGGGAGGACCACAACTTGACCCTGGAGCCGTCGTCTCCTATATGGATGGATCTAAAACCAATGAAGGAGTGGGCGTGGGTGTGTACGTTTAGGGCGTAGGAGAACGGTGATCAAGGGCCCTCGGGCACTGTTCATCGATATTTCAGGCTAAGACATATGCCATAGAGTTGTGTGCCCTGGAATGTATCAGGAGGAACATTAGATGGAGCATTATATTTATTATATCGGATAATAGGGCCGTTCTTGGGGCCCTCTTGTCTGATGTAGTAGGATCCAGGCTGCTGAAAGAATGCATTAGCACCCTTGGCATCCTTGCTAGGCACAACAAATCAACCTTGATGCGCGTGCCAGGAGACTACGGCGTGAACGGGAATGAGAGAGCTGATGGTTTTGCCAGAGAGGGAGCGGCGTCTCCATTCATTGGGCCGAAACCATGCTTTGGGACGCCCAGGACAATGGTCTTGCGTGCCCTGAATGAATGCAAGGAGCGGGCCAGAGTTGAACACTGGAATGGCTGCCTAGGCCTGTGGCACTGTAAGAAATTTGTGCGTCCCCTTGGACAGGGAGGACGTTTATGCTTGAAGGAGGACGAAACCATGGAGCACTTATTGTGTGAATGCTTGGCGCTTGCTCGCCCGCGACTGAGATGCTACGGGGGGGGGGGGCAGCTTGATGTGGCTGTCATGCTGCGGTTTGTTAGGGCCCTAGGTATAGAGCAAATGTAGGTGAGGGTGGGAATCACAATAGATCCTATGAGTTGACGTGAGGAAGGCCTAAGGGCCTCGGTTCCCGTGAAGGAAAAAAAAAAGTTCCTATCAATCATATCAGTATCCATATTAAGGGTCAGGCGGTATCTTCCAAACTTCTTACACAAACCATTGTAATCCGAAGGTAAGCCCCCACTGTCAACAAATATTTTCTTGCTCAATTTAGTGTTTCTTATTAAAGGTATTTAAATTGATATTCATTGTAATTTTGCATTTTTGAATATTTTATTGAATATTAAAATAATTTTGCGAATTTATATAATTGAATGATTCACCCTAACTATAATTTTCTAAAAGTTGACACGCGTAAATAATTAATTTAAATGATTATGGGTTAAAAAAATAATGTTTCCAACACATTTTATTAAAAATATTAATATCATTTATTTTGATATTGAAAATTTACCAAAAAAAATAATTTTAATTAATTATTTTGAAAACCAAATTTTCGTTTCACGTGTTTTTTTTTTGTATATTGATTGCCTACCATTTTAGCCTTTACAATAAGACGTTGACTGAGAAAATATTTTGTTAGTCTAATAAGTATTTAGCGTTTTCTTAATAATAATTATTATTAAAGGTTGTAAATTTATATCTAAGTTAAACTGCCCATATTTTAATAAATTAAGAGAGAGAGAGAGAGAAATTTTTTATAACGCGAAATTTATGATTAATAATTTTGCACCTTTTTTTTGTTCTAAAACTATTTTTAATGTTCATGATAAATTTAAATATTACGTGCAAGAATAATGATTCTTTATTAAAATTAAAAGTTCATTGTGTGTTCGAGGCAAAAAAACCATAAAAAAAAGGACTGTCGAAGGAAAATAATAAGAAAAATAAGAAAAAAATAGAAAACAAAAATGATAAATTACTCAAATTATATTCTGACAACGTTTTTTATATCACAACATATTTTTTTTTTATTTTAATTATTATAATTTGATAAGTTATGAAATTCGAGAAAAAATTCGCGAATATTTAGAATACTAAGATGTAGAAGAATTTTTTCAAAATAACACAAAATTGAAAGTTCGCAAAGAACGTGTTTTAAAAATTTGCCCCTTTTATGAAAAATATTGCTTTAAGATATTTTTTTTTGTATTTAAAGGTTATAATGACCTTTTCATATCATAATTGCAATATTACTAATATTATTTTTGAATAAGATTAGATTAGATTAGGTTAACGCGGCCACCGCATGACACACATCGGCCAGTAAGGCACGTTGTGATATTCACAAAATTCCCTGCCCTCACGAGAACCTGGCCGAGCTTTTCAGAAATTGGCTAAGGCCCGTTTCTAAGCATTTACATTCGCTAGATCCGTAATCCGTATTGTTAAATAAATCATGTTATAAAATTAAATTTATTTTAAAATTTTGAGTCATAATACAAATTCACCTTATAAAATTTTAAACAAATTTACAGATTTTATAATTTTAAAATTTTAAAATGAAGTTTTACTACCATAATAATGTTAATAATTAGTTAAAAATATTATAATAATAATAAAGCTTTTAAAAATGGCATTTCCTGTCTGTGTTGACGTTCATTATGAATAACCAATTTACGTCTATAAAACTTGTATGACGCATTTCATCACGTAAAAAGGAATATTGATGTTGCATTTAAAGCAATGTATTCTATAATATCCTTATAAAATATAATATTGAATATTTTTATATAAAATTCTGTTTCTTCCATTAAAATAATAATCTCGTTAAAAATTTATTAATATATTATAATAGCCATTATTGTTTGTTAAATTTTTATTTTTCTCTGTGTTTATTTATTAATCAAATAGTATATTAATCAAATTAACGATATGGTACCGGGCAGACCATCACGTACCCATAATAAATTTATTATTTATACATATATGTACGTATATGTATGTATCTTTGAAAATAGTGTATGCATATCTAAAAATAATCAATATGTTCATATGAGACCATAGAATTTTGAGATATTCTCTTTTGTAATAAATTATGAATTGTTTTGAAAAAAAAAAAAAAAAAACAAAATAAATAAACCAATCTTTCATTTACGAAATTTTATATACATAGTGAAAAACAATGTGTGCGGACTTGTAAATTAAAGAATTTAATAGTTGTTTAGTGTAACTCTAAGGTATTGGTAAAAATAAAACATTCGAAAAAGTTTAAAAAGTAAATCCTGCACACATTTAGTTCTAGTTTACACAGTTTACTGGTATGAATCCGGTTAGAAAATTAGAATTTCCTGCATTTATTGGAAAGGTGAGATTTGTAAATTTATTAGCTACGAGAAATTTATTAATATATGCAAAATTGTGAAAGACTAAAGTGTAAATTCATTTTTCATATCTAATTTTAACAAAGTTTATTGCCCCCTTTCTTCTGGTCGACCTCTTAAGTAGGTGATTTGGTAAAGTATTCTTACAAATGTTGACTAGCACATATAGGTCATAAACAAGCATAACAATAATAAATTAAAAACGTTTTTTTGTTAGATTCTTTTTGATTTTTGTTAGATTTTGTTAGATTGGGGAAAGAACGTTTTTCAAATGTGTTAACAAAACTTCAATAAGAGGGATAAAAAGTTTTGCAACAGCAAAACAAATTACTTGCTATTCAGAGGAGAAGAGCGCAATTTCGAAGTCAATTGACTTATGTAGAAACAAGAACAGATTAATAGAATTCAGTGCTTTTCTCTTGCATTATAAATTTCTCTAGCATTATAAATTGAAAGCGAAAATTTTTATTAAATTCTAATACAAACATAGAAGCATACTCATTACTCAAATTCAAATTACTTGTAGGGAAATTGCAATTTTACGGACATTCCTGTTTATTGGTATGGAGTTTTGGTTTGCATAAAATTATTCCCAATAGATCGGACAAGATAGAATATAAGAGAACGATATGGTAAAAAAAATTTATTCGAATTTTCTTGGTTTCTCTATTGGGTTATTTTTCTTTGTTTATTTTTTTGTTTTATTTTTTATTCTCCGGATCTTATCAAAAAACTCATTAATCATTATGATATTCTCTTTATAAACATTATTATCTCTCTTCTTTTAATCGTTCTGATTAACACTCTTATATAAAAAAGAAAAATTCTGAATCAATATTGAGAACAAAAATGAATAAAATTCTCTATTATAATAAGTATTAGATAATTTTTCAGAGCGCAAAAATATCCTTGAAAAATATTTATTTTGTATTGTGTCCTTTTTACTCTTGATTTTTATTTTGCTATTTTATTCTGGTAGATCATTAATCTTTTGAAAATATTCTTGCTATTTGAAACGCATCAGGTAATTATTATCATTGTATTGAATTCGAATAATTTATGTATGTGTGTATTTATATGAGTATCCATATTTTGGTTCTATAGGGTTCTAAAATATTGGTTTTGATTTCTTCTAGTTTGTATATAAAAGTTTGTATATAACAGTTTGTACTACTGGCAAAATACAAGAGAAGCAAAGTTAATAAATTTAATGCCATTATCATTTTGTGCTCAATTAATATTGATTTCAAAATAATTTTGTTATTGTGCGATAAATAAATTTCTCTGTATTCCAAATGGTTTTGTATTTTTGAATAAAATATGAATAAATTCGATTTTTGTTGTTTTTTTCAATAATTAATGGATTTTTAATATAGAAAAATTAATAAATGTCTATTAAATGGACAATATTTTATAGTAGGTATTTTGCTATTTCTAATGGAAAATTAAATAGAGTATTGCCAATTAGATGAGAAAAATTGTTACTTTGACAACAGCTGCTAGTCCAATAAATTGCACTTGTGATGTCTTGTTATTGGCATTATGGTTATAAACTAAAAATGACTGAATACTGCACCAAATTTCAGTATGTGAATAGATCCAACCCCTTCCTCTTGCATGTTGTATGATAAAATTTTAACTTTAAAACCAATAAAACCTTAAAATTTATTTGTTAATTTAAATTTATTTTTTCCCATTATAATAATTAAAATCTTGTTGATATTGTTCTGTCGCTGGCCAAACTATACTTTCAATCCAATCTAAATATGAAAAAACTTTTGTATAAACACCTGGTATTTGTCCAGCGCATGTTGATCCAAATGATGTTACACCTATTATAAAATATCTTGCTCTACGTCTACCCGGTAATATAATTTCTAATGGTCCACCTGAATCGCCCTATTGGAAAAATCAATTAAAATCAAAATTAATTAAAATTAAAATAAATTATTTTAAAATTTGATATTAATGTATATTAAATAATGTACCCGAGATATAAAACCGAACTGCTCTCATTAACAGAAGAATAATTTATATTCTCAGGGCACTGATATTAATAAAAATTATTACCTGACATGTATCACGATGTTGTTCATTGTCAATTGCACAAATTTGATTATTTAAAATTCCATCTGGTGTTTCTGATGTACGTGGTAATCTTTTATTACATTCATTATTATTAATTATTGTTAAATTGAAAAATGTTAAAACATTTGTTGGTGTTTTACCAAATTTTGTTGAACCGTAACCTAATGCAAAAACTTTTTCAAATGGTATTTCATCTGATGCCCATAATCTTGCCGGCCGAACATGTTTTGTAAAACTAAAGTATTATATAAAAGGGAAATTTTAAATTGAGTTTCATTCATTTCATGAATATTAATTGAAACTTACACAGCTGGTCGAGCTAATCTTATTAAAGCTATATCATAATAATCTAAATTATTTTTATAATTTGGATGACGATAAATATTTGCAATACGAAATCTTTGTGTTGCAACTGTATCTTCTCTTACTTCTAAATTTACATCACCAATTTTAACCCAATTTGGTGGTTCTCTAAAAAAATACAAGAAAATGTTTGAAAAAATAGTACTGTAAAAAATTTAATTATTACAAATTATTTAATTTTTATGCAGTAAATTGGAATATTTACCCTCCAAAATCTGTACAGTGTGCTGCAGTTAATACAAAAAAAATATCTATTAAGCTACCACCACATTTCCAATGAGAATTTCCAGGACCACGTGCTGTTTTAATGCCAATTACAGCCTAAAAATTTAACAAAAACAAAATATTAATTTTGTATGCTATAATTATTTGTTTGTTATTAAAAAATTCGGTTATTATATTAAAACTATGATATCATAAAAGTTATTCTTAATTTCTTCAAAAATTCAATTACAATTTTAAGATCTAAAATAATTTATCTATGGTATAAGTTCTTAAACAAAAATCGGTTCAATCTAGTTTAAACCAGAACAATATTGTTGTAAAAGAAATGGTTTTTAACAAAACCAGTTTTTAATTGAGTATATTTATAATTGAGCTCTTTATGAATAGAATTAAAAAGTTCAATTTCTTACAATATGTGGAAATTCTCCTGGAGCTGCAATAACTCTTCCATTTAAATCTTCAGCTGACAGAATATCACTGTTTTCATCATAATTTTCATTACCATAAATTCTTCTCATGTACTCCAAGAATTCTAAAATTTATATAACAGTAAAAAATTTTATTCAATATGTAATTTTTTCGTTGAGTTTTCAACTGCACAATAAAACTTTTTCCAATCGATTTTCAAAATTTATGGACCAATAAAATATCATTTTCACACAACTTGATTTTGTAATCCCTGCACAATAGTCTAAATTTATAAGTTCTGATTTCGAAATATCTTGCGTAGATTGGTACATTTTACTGTTTGCTGAACTATAAAGTTCAGTTGGTAAGTATTACTCGTTGTGTTGGTTGGTCACCTAAATAATATTGACTAATTAAGCAACATTATCGTTATTTTGAAGTCAAAAATGATTGTTCGCTTTTCTAGGTTTTAATTAAACATTATCTACCACATTGAAAAATTTTTAGAATCGAAATTTTAAGAAAGTTTTGAATAAAATAAATGAATCATCTATGAATCCGGCTGTTTTTTTGTACAACATCTTCTGTACACCTTAATATAGTAATTTTGCTTATATAATATTATTTCAACTGGAAATAGCTTAGATTGTACTAGGTCGATTAGGAATTACAAAAATTATTTTTTGACTGAAAAATAACCTACTAATTTGACTGATACGTTTCTGTCTTTCACCATAAATTCCAGTACCCCAACCATTTGGTCGAAACCCTGAATAACCAGCTAATATTGGATTAAATATATTTCCCTGTTGTTGTTGTCTAAATGGTCTTCTACGATTTTGAAATTGATTAAAATTTTTTTGTATTGGAATTTGTTGAGGATTAATACCATAACCATTCTGAACAGCATTATTATTAACTGTATTTTGCTGAAAATTATTATTTATGCCATTACCATTAAATATATAAAAACCATTTAAATAAGGATTGTCTATTGGTAAACTATAACCACCATTGTTATTATTATTAATTGATGTTAAAAAATTATTTTGATTTGCATTATTTGCCGCTAATATAGCATTATTTACTGCAATATTATGATTTTGTATAGCATGAGCTCTGGCAGCTGCTAAATTACGTTGACGATTAAAAAATTGTGGATGTACCTGATTTGGAAAAATTATTCTTCCTTGTGGATTACGTTTATTTCTTAATAAATTATTAAATATTATATTTGAATTATTTTTTATTATTATAGATTCTATACAAAAATAATTTAGTAAATTTATATTAATAAAAATTTTAATGAAAATTTTATTATTTAACATTTTTTATAATATTTTCAAAAACTTTATATCCACACATTTTTAAGTCTCGTAAACAACTAACATAAAATATTTGTTTAAAATTAAAAAGCTCAAAGAATTTTGTTCTCTTGATTCTTGAAAGCTTCTTAAAAATGACAATCAAAAACAAAAAATAAACAAGTTTAATTTGTTTTGTTTGTAATTTTTATTTGTTATGGGAAATCACCTGCGGAACTGGATTTTAAAGAAAACGAGACAAAAGCAGAACAAAATTTTGATTCTGCGGTTATCTTTATGCTTTATAAAACAACTAGAATAAGAAGAAGAGCAAATGAAAAGTTGAAAATATAAAATTTATGCGATATTTGAGCGAGCGTGATTAATTATTTAATTATCACTTTCAATGAACCGAATTGAAAATACAAACAAAATACGAAAAAAACAAATGTGATATATTGTTGTTTTCTACGTCACAACTCAACTTGATTCTTAAACAATAGCGAATTTTTATTTAGTTTTTGTTACATCATGGCAATAACCCGACGAAACAAATATAATATTAACCATTCTATATTATTGTGTTGCGTAAAATGTACGAAATTTTATAAAATTTTTCATTTCGACATAAACGACTTGACACTGACACAACATTTTTCAGAATTTTTACCAGATTTTTCTGCATTCCAATAAAATTTTTTGTTTTTACTTAATTTTATTGAAGAGAGATGTGGGCAAAGGAACTCTTCGGTTCCGATCACCGCAGCCAGTCATGGCTTATTGTAGCCCTTCCATATCCTTTTTATACTACCGCGGTGCCAAGTAAATACTCGGAGATGTCCTTTAGGGAGTTTGTTGCGAGCTCTTCAACACTGAGAAATGTCCGAACAAACCATCTCCGCCTCCTGTAACAGAGTAGAACATTCACATAAAATATGTACGGTCGTTTTCTCATCGTCCCGGCCGAATTTACCTAAAAGGGAGTTCGATTTGTCCAGTTTGCTAAGGGGATATTTCATCGCAGTGAAGAAGCTAACAATAACACGAAACCGACTGATGCCACTTTTTCCAGTGCGAGCACACTGTGTCAACTGTGACATCTAAGCAGGTTTGTGGCTGTCAACAGAATGTAGAAGTGCAATGGCGGCAATCCAATGAATGACTTCAAGACAGCGGTTTTGAGCCGTTGGCATTGCTCAAGTTACATCATATTCACTTAAAAGGCAGTTATTTTGCTTACTGTGTTAGGAACACATTTCGAATTTTGTTCAATTCCTTAGCTCGAATCGAAGCATATGTGATTCGCTGGCTCGTCTGCCACCCCTTCAATTTCTTCCTATATTTATATGTAGGCAGAAATTGATATGTTGCGACAATATATTGTGATTCTGAAAGCATGCCTAAATTTTACATTTTAACATGTAATTGTGCATATTTTGTGCACAAATTATATAGGCAAACTTGAACTTGTACAAAATATCTTTTGTTTATGTAAAATACTATTGTCATAAAGTACTATTCATTTTGTACGTAATATTTATTGACGTAATGTCAATAAAGTTTTTTTTTTCATAGAAATATAATTGACATTCGATTGACATTTAGACCCTTATGTGTATTAGCATATTTTATAAAAACACGTTTATTTTTTTTACTATTGTCAAAAAAAATTAATTATGGTAAACAGGTTTTTAATAAACACTTTAGATTGAATAGTTCAAAAAAAAAAAAAAATTTGCCGTTTTGGTTATGGTTTTTTGGTCATCTTAATCGTGATTATTGTTTATTAAGCTAAAATATTTTGTATAATATTATAAGAGTTATATGAGTGTACTAATTTAAATGTAGTAGTTACGAGTATTAATTGCAATAAATTTTTTGAATTCTTTTACATTTAAATGTAGTCTGTCTGCATTTACTGTTTTTTGTATGCTTTCTCTTAACTTAGTACAATTATTAGTTAGACTAATAGCTTGTTAAAATTGTGGCAATTATTACAATAGATTTCGAATTGACGCAGATGAATTGTAGACATACCACTAATAACACAATATTGCAACTTTTCATGCAAAGTAAGATCTTTCAAAACGTAAGTTTTTACAAATTTGGGTCATACTCCAGCAGTTGAAAGAGCCACTTCTCATGGTGTGCACATTTTAAGTTTATAAAATTAATTTCCTTAAGCTAAATTTGCGTAGATAGTCGACGCGGCAGCCAGTCTCCCATTTCCGCAGACAGTAGTCAAGTTTAAAATCAATTTTCATTGTCCCTTTCTCTTTAGTGGACGTCAATAGCTTGTTTGCCCTCTTATGGTACAGATCACCTCATCTTCTTGGTATTTCTGTTCTTTTTACATGATTTGTTCTGTTCACAGTAAATTTATTCACGTATGATTTTGGCGGACGGACAAATAAGAAAAGAGAATATTCGATTTCAAAATCTTAAGAAATTGATACTGCAATCAATAGGTAAGTTGCCATAAAAAACGTTTCTTAATATTTAATGAAAATTTTGAAAATATTCAAAAAAATTTAATTTTTCAGTAAGAATCTTCTTAAAAAATTGTTGTATTTGCATTTTGCTTATGCATTGATAACTTTCCGTATAACCATAAATTTTTTATTTTTCAAAAATTTTTCTCATTCTCCATTTTTATTGTTATTTTATTATAAAATTTTAAATATCAACATAAAGTCAGAGAAATATATACGATTTAACTTTTTAATCTCATTTGAAATTTTGAAATGATTGAATGTTAAAATTTTTGTTTTTATTTTGACAAAATGCTGATTGAAACGTTCACTAAAGTATGATGTATAAGTTGGTTTGTATATGCACCTACATAAATACATGTGAGTAATATATGAGTATATGTATAAATATTTGAATTTTTTTTTTGTGATAAATTACAATCAAAATTTGACACATTGATACACGATGTTTGCGACAATAATTCAATTTTATTTTCTCTTAAAATCAAAATTGAAACTCTTATATTTATCCAATACTGTTATATTTTTCACTCTCGATTCATATAAATCCTTCACAAATTGAATTATAACAAAAAAATTCAGTCATATATGTACATATGTATTTAAAATTTTTTTTTTTATTGTTATATTGTTTTTCATTATATTAAACTGAGTGGACGTTATCATCCTATAGCAGTTCAGTATAGGTGTACTATAACTATACCTTAACTTGTGAAAATTCTGTTGTCATATAAAAAAAAAAAAAAAATAAATTTATTGAGCGCATCTGCATTGAGTCGAACAAATAGTCGATATTTGTGGTGATTTTAGTGGTATTGCATGCATTATATTGATTTTAGTCATTCATACTTTTAGATTACTTAATGAGAATTTATTGAGAATCGAACACTATATATGTTTTATGATGAACATATATTGTATGTATATGAAATTCAGGTTTAATACGAGTATGTGTGTATAATATGGTTTTTAACGTTTATCAGTTTTTATGATAATTTTCATCAAAAATTTATATTAATTTCGATAGAAATAAATGAAATTAAAATCATTTTTTTTTTTCGTGGAAATTTTTTAATTAATTTTTTTTTTTCGTTTTACATTTAATTTTGCCGGGAGCTTTCGTATTAATTGGATTTTTCGGGTAATTCAACACAAATGTAATTGTAGTACATATGTTAAAAAGAAATTAACAAGTTATTTCGCAATATATTTTATAACTTTCTTAAAAGGCAAATTATTAAATCAGAGATGAAAAGCAAATCCATCGAACTGATCGATGCAGTTTATATATTTCGAACTCTCTTATGTTTAAATTCAAAGAGAGGTACTATTCAATGACATTTATGATTGACAGAAAAAGTGTGTAAAGTGATGTGTAAAAGCTTTCAACACCATAAAGAGTGTTAATTGACAGATAAAATTACTGTTTTCGAAAGAATTTTGCAAGAACTGGTGCCAACTAGATATTGCAATTATCATTTATACTAAAGTATTTAGATAATTAATTTTGAATGTCACAAGTGTCATATTATGTATATGAAATTCTTTTTGAACTTGAAAGCTTTTTCAGCAACACGATTCAATACATTTGCGAACTTAATGTGCATAACAACGGGTTTCATATCAATTTTTCTCTCTTTGAAAACATTTTGTCAGAACTATTAATCAATCAAAGTTTCGTAATTGTTATTTTTTTTATAAAAATATTAAGGACTACTATCACGGTGATCTCTTGTGTGTATTTGATTGTATGCATTTTCGAAATGATTTTTTTTTACTATCTTCGTTATATTTATTTGCTGTCATTTTCTGTACCGTTATCTATATATACATATTTTAGTATGTGCATGTCATTTTTCATTTTAGTTTTGAATCTGTGAAATTAATCAAAATATATAATTTTTATTCAATTTGTCAATATTTTCAGTGCAGTATGATAAAAGGATGCATTAAAGTGTTGCCATATATTTTTTTTTTTTTTGCTCTTTTTCGTATAAACTTTTATTTTATCTATTATGAACACGTATACAATTTACATGTGATTTTTTATTGATTTTATGTCATACTGATTGGAAATTTAAAACGATGATTGATTATCACTTATTGAAGGAACTTCGTAAAGGTGGTATATTTGAGATTCTTTCAATTTTTTTTATCGAATGACTAATTGCATATTCCTTTTTTTTGTGTTTTCTTATTTGTATTTTGTTTACTTATGTTATTTGAATCCTTTTTAATGAATAATAAAACAAAGTTGTACTGAAAATGCCATATAACAATATTATATAACAGTAGCAATTTTTATGACGCCAACCATTTTTCATTGTGTTTGTATATGGAATTGTATACAACGGTAGTGTGTATGTTCGTATGCAAATCTATTAAACAGGAAGTTAAAAATAATGAGTTTTTTCTGCTATATAATTGAGAATTTTTTTTGTGACTTAATAATTTAAAGATATTGTGGGTGTGTTTGTTTGAATATTGTTTATAAAAATAATGATAGCGGTATGTCAAACTAATGTTTCCTTTCATTACGGCTTATACAAGACGGTTTTGAAAAAAGCTATTCCAGAAATTATTCCATAATCGGCGGGAACACTTTAAGATTAAACTATGCTCTGCAATTCTACATGAAAATTTTTGTTATTTATAAATGATCGTATGTATACCAAAAGCTTACCCTCTCAGGCTCCCACTCGAGCTCTTGAATTACCCTGTCAATTGCAAATATTTTTTATTAATTGAAATACATACGCAAGTTTAAATTATTTTTAGCTTTGAAAATGATCGTTTGGTCAATGCAACGGCGACACCTAAAATTGTTATCAGATTCTGTTTCCAAATAGGTAGCAGGAGGTATTAATATTATTTTTTTAAAAGAAAGAACTACGTAATATACCTGTGAAGGTCCTATTTTCGGAAAGAGAGTGAATTTCCTATGAACATATAGAAACGTATAAAACTTTGCCAATTAAACTTTAATTTTATTTATAATTTTCGCAATTTCTAATATTATAAATTTTCTTAAATTCTTTATAAGTTCAAATAAAACTTTAAATTGAAACAAAATTATTTTTATATTGGAAAAAATCATGAAGGAAAAAAGTTCTATAGCAATCATTTTGAGTTGTCAAATACAATAAACATTGATCATTTTTTTTTTATTTTCTTTTGTATTTTGTCATTCTTCCAAACTAAACGTCATATTTTTGTTTTCATCTCATTAAATTAAAATACTTACTATATGAAAAAAATATAATTCAAACCGAAATCTTATGA